TTGAGCAATCACAAAATCATGCCAACTAGGTAAAATTTATGAACAGTTAACAATATATAGAATAAATATAGTATAAAATTTGCTAATCGGTAGAGAAATCTCTGTTAAGCAATAAGTGTATGTGCTGCCGGAGGTCATTCTTTAAATACATTAAAAATATGGACAATTTTTAAAAACTAGTCCCTTATAAGGTTATTCATGTAAATCACCCATATGATCAACAGGGTGAAATTCAAAAATAGCCAGATTTACAACTGGTCGTTCAAAAATAGCCAAGTTTCAAAAGTAATCGAAATTTAGCCACTTTTCATGTAAAGATAAATTTGAGCGAAAATACTGTTCAAAACCTGGAAAATACGCCAATATATTATGCTGGAGTTCCAACATAAGTATACTTGAACTCGGCATATTATACTGGAGTTCCAGGATAAGTATGCTGGAACTCCAGCATAATATGATGGAGTTCCAGCATAAGTACGCTAGAACTCCAGCATAATATACTGGAGTTCCAGCAAGTATATCGGTCTAGCATAATATACTGGAGTTTGGAGCACCGGTGCTCCAGTCTCCAGTATATTATACTGGAGCCAGCGAAGTATGCCGGTCCAGCATAATATGCTGGAGTTCATACACAGGTGCACCGAACTCCAATATATTATGTTGGACCAGTCTCTGTTGCAGCAAAATAGTGAATATTTTTCATTGACTTGATAAACACTGGCCATTTTTGAATGACCAATCCAAAAATTGACTATATTGTGCTATTTTTACTGATCAACACCACAAGCGGTACAGGCCGACGGTAATGGGCTAAGGTAAATTTGCTATATGAATTTATAAGTTAACGCTTTTTGTTGTTTCTTCACTGAAGTTATAATTTTTGGATCTTATACATAAATAGTTGGGGATTTATTGTTTGCTTTTTTTAATCGGTACATATAACTTATACACAAAAATATACATATTAAATATAAATTATATATATTACATATTTACCAACTATTTTTAGTTTAAGCAATTGGATGAACGACTACTTAAGTTAATTCTTTATATTTTTCTTGATTCTTTACTTAAATGTGCTAGGATTTAGTTTTTTCTTGAAAAAACTACTCTCTATAGCCCCTTAAACTTTTAATAGCTCATTTTTTTCACTGGCATGAAATGGTCTTTCGGCCCAAACATATTACATCTAATAGCCCCAAAATGTTTATTTTATATAGTGACAATCTATTTTGTATATTTTTTGTATAGTTATAGTCTATTTCGTATATTTTTGTACAGTGATAGTCTATTTTGTATAGTGAAAGTCTATTTTGTATATATTTGGTATAGTGACAGTCTATTATATATAAATTGTATAGTGACAGCTTATTTAGTATATTTTGATTTAGTGACAGTTTATTTTATATATATTTTGTATAGTGACAGTCTATTATATATAAATTGTATATTGACAGTCTATTTAGTATATACATTGCATAAAATTTATATATAGAGTGTATCGTGCATCTTGAAATGTAACTATAATATATCACTAATGTATCTCGAGCGCCTTTATGTATCCAAAGTGTATAGACTGTTCTAGATGTATAAATTTTATATATATATATATATATAAAATATATCGTACATTTTACAATATATCCTTAATATATCATTAAATTATCCCGAACGTTATTATCCAAAAAAAAATACATGACGTATTTAAGACTACAGGTTTTGAATATACTTCTTTCTTTATTAAATTTCTTGTTAAAATCTATATAAATATATAAAAGAAGGACATAGCTCCGGTGACGTGGCTAGGCTCACTTATCAGGATTTGCTTTTCTCTTTTTTCTCCTTTTTTGGGGGGTTTTGAATGAACAACGGTTGCTACCCAATTTTATATTTTTTAAACCGTTTCTCTAATAAGCGTCGTTTCTTTTCCCTAATATGGCAGCCGTTTGCTTTTACCAATAAATCAACAGGGGTGAAAGAATTAAACATATTAGCGTTTCAACCAAAACCTTGAGGTCTTCAATTCCAATTACAGCCAGGACGGAGAATAAATCTATTAAAGATAGAGGAAGAAATGAATTGCGGAGAAGCAATTTCTCTCTGTAAAAATATCCGTGGTACAAAATTCTTCATGTTTGATTGGTGTTTGATCATGTGTCTCCTTATTAAACTTTTATTTACCGGCTTCTTACATTAATTTTTTGCAGAGTATCACAGGAATCCAATTCCTTTGCCTGTAGTCTTTCAATGAAAAATAGTGCATGTTATGTCATCAGAAAAGCCACCTTCCTTTCATTTAACATGATTATTTCATTGTCTTTTTGCAGGGCAAGATGTCTTCAGCTCTTGATTGTCGAACGATTCTTCTGTTTGTCCAAAGTCTATTAGGAGATTCGAGATTTTTCTGCGCCGCCTCCCCTTCGTTGTTTATTTAATATTTTTACCTTATCCTAACTGTAATTTCTTTTGCAGAACAAAATATTGAGAGCCCTCTTAATAGCCTGCTGCAACACCTTTGGAAGAACAAGGAAAGTAGCACTTATTCTATTCAAGTAAAGCCTATATCTATTTTCTTCTCCATCACTTAAATCTAATAGAGGCATTTGTCTGTTTGTATAGAACCTTAACATTTTCACAAATTTCAGAATCAAAATCATGTGCATGTGCTTAAAAGTTCACTTGAAGTATTTATATGGCTTAAGCTTAGGATTGGAATGAAATTCATAAAGATTGTCGAAGCGCCCAATTTGGTATAGAAAGATGGTAATGAAGCATTTTTTAGCTGGAGAAGCAATTGATAGTTAACTAATAGTCTGTTTGTCGTAAGCTTCTTTTTGGCAAAAAGTATTTTTTTTTTGCTAAAAGCACTTTTGGCCAAAAATTGAGGTGTTTGGCCAAGTTTTTGGAAGGAAAAAAGTGCTTTTGAGAAGAAACAGAAAAAAGTAGTTTGAGGCCCAACTATGCCTTATAAAAAGGACAATGCAGTCGTTGCAAATATAATCCGGTTTACAAGTCCGGAGTCGAATCCCACAGAGAGTTAACCTATCAATCACAATCTTTAGACCCACTAAACTCTTCAGAACCAGTTTCCCAAATGTTTGAATCACAAGTTGATGGTTTCTTTAGTAACTAAGATTGCAAGTAAATTAACAGGCTGTAAACTAAAACTCTAAGGTTGTAAACAATGATGAGATAAAGCTAAGGTAAAGATTTCCCCTATTGATGGAATCCCTTCTGTTTATGCTTTATACAAATGTACCAACACTTCTCTATCAATCATGAATGCTCGTCTTACCATAAATCTCTCCCGAGTAATCACAGTAATATACTATTGCACTCTCCCGAGATACACTAGCTAGCTTTAATTAACACAGTTCACTTAATATTGCACTCAAGGCTTCGTTATCCCTAATCCCGCCTTTAAACCCGCAGTTATAGATTCCTCTTATACTTTAGGAGTGGTGTTATTCAACAATAACCTAAATATGCACTCTCTCCCGAGTTATGCACACTAAATAGGCACAGCTAATTGAGGATCCTGTCAATTAACTACAACAAGAACATAGTTGAATAAATAAAGATTGAAACTAGCAATATGTATTCAGNGCCTTTACCCATCTTAGTCTTAACTACAAAAGAAAAATTTACCTAACCCGGTTCAAGAAAAACCCTTGGAAAAGAACCGTGGCCAAAAGAAAAACCAAGGGGGACTTACTACACTACCTAAAAAGAAAAATAAATAAATAAAAAAAAAACTTCATGGACTACTTCCCTCAAGAGTACTGTCCCAGTGGTCCGTCCTCAAGAAGAGTCCTCTACCTTTAAAATTTTTTATTTTTTTTATAAATATATCCAACTTGGACCCTCAAGAGACCCGTCGACAAGTGTCCGTCGTTGGGCCAAGTTAGACTCCTAATATAATTACAGTCAATTATATATAACAACATCAATTTCATGCTACAACACACACAATGTCTATGTACAGTACACATATAACTAGAGCAAGTCTCCCACCCCACACTTAAAATCATGGCATGTCCCCATGTCATATCACGAAAGTAAAGAGCAGAAGGGTAAGAAGACTTCCCTGAGACTCAATCAGAGTCGGAGACTGTGCTGGGGTTGACATGGCAAGCTCTCCCCAAAGCACGGAACCAGGCCATGAACCTGTTCTCAGACCGGGCCTGCCTCTGAGACATGGCATCCATCCGTGTGTGTAGGCCATCCACTGAGGTGCGGAGATCCGCGACCTCTTCCTCCATGGAACGCAGCATAGGCCTGGTAGACTGAGATCTGGCAAAGCCTGCCCCAGTATGGGGNAGAGAGAGAGAAAGAGCAACTTACTTGTTTGGTTGAGGGAAAGTGGATGAAGAAGGTGGATAGTAGGGGAGGATGATAATGGAGTGATGTGAAGATGAGAAGAGAAGAGAGAAGATAGAGAGAAGTGGGAGAGAAATTAGAGAGAAGGGAGTGGGGGAGGGGTGTTTTGCTGAATCTGGGCGAATTGGGGGGGTTTAGTGGTAGGTGGGGGGTATTTTGGGTAAAAGGTGAAAAGAAAAAAAAATTAAAACGAAAAACTTACCTGGACCCCGTTTGCGTCTGCCGCGGTTCTACCGTGGTCGCGGTAGACCAAGTTCAGAGGGTCTCCCTGGCCGCGGTTTTACCGCGATCGCGGTATAACCGCGATGGCCTGGGTTCAGAGAAGGGTCAGTACCGCGGTTTGACCGCGTCTCTGATTCTGACATTTTTTTTATGTTACACTTACAACAATTTCGTGGGTTGCCTCCCATGTAGCGCCTGATTTAACGTCGCTGCACGACGCAGGAAGAGCGCATTTAAGGCTCGCTCGACCTCTGTGGTTCAGTCAGATGCAGTTCAGCCCCTTCCTTAGGCTCGCTCATACCCACATACAACTTCAATCTATGACCATTGACTCTAAATGTACGAGAGTCATTCTCAGTGGCAACTTCAACCGCTCCTGACAGGAAAACTTCAACTACTCAAAATGGTCCAGACCATCGTGACTTCAGCTTATCCGGGAACAACCTCAGTCTTGAGTTGTATAGCAATACCATATTCCCAGGTTTGAAGTTCCACTCAACGATGTTCTGATCGTGTAGCCTCTTCATTCTCTCTTTGTACAGCCTTGTGCTCTCAAAAGCAAGATACCGGAACTTCTCAAGCTCATGCAGTTCTGTGACTCTTGACGTGCCCGCAGCTTCCATGTCTAAATTTAGTTGTTTCAGTGCCCACCACGCTCTATGCTCAAGTTCTACAGGTAGGTGACAGGCCTTCCCAAACACTAACTTGTATGGTGACATACCAATTGGTGTCTTAAAAGCTGTCCTGTAGGCCCAGAGTGCATCATCTAACTTCCTCGCCCAATCAGTTCTCATAGCGTTCACAGTTTTCGTTAACACGCTCTTGATTTCCCTGTTGGATACCTCAACCTGTCCACTAGTCCGCGGGTGGTAAGGAGTAGCCATCTTGTGGCGCACACCGTATTTTGTAAGGNGCGCACATCGTATTTTGTAAGCAACTTCTCGAAGGCTCTATTGCAGAAGTGAGTGCCTCCGTCGCTGATAATCGCTCGTGGTGTCCCAAAGCGGGTGAATATGTTCTTCTTTAGAAACCCCACCACCACTTTCGCATCGTTGGTGGGCAATGCTACAGCTTCCACCCACTTGGACACATAGTCTACAGCAACAAGGATGTACTTATTACCATAAGAGCTGACGAAGGGACCCATGAAATCAATCCCCCAGACGTCGAACACTTCTATCTCCTGAATTGGGTTCATGGGCATCTCGTGGCGCCGGGAAATGTTCCCGGTGCGTTGACATTCATTACAACCCTTCACCCATGAGTGGGCATCTTTAAACACAGTCGGCCAGAAAAATCCGGCCTCTAGCACCTTTGCTGCTGTCCTGATCCCTCCAAAGTGTCCACCATAAGCCGATGCATGACAAGCCTGCAAAATAGAAGATTGTTCTATCTCGGAGACGCATCTCTAGATCATGTTATCCAGGCATATTCTAAAGAGATAGGGCTCGTCCCAATAGTACAAGCGGCTTTCTCGAAAAAATCGCTTCCTCTGGACCGATGAAAGGTTGTGAGGAACTATACCACTGGCCAGGTAATTGGCCAAGTCCGCATACCATGGCGCTTCCTGATGAGTGATGGCGAGCAATTGCTCATCTGGAAAAGTTTCCAGAATTTCCTCAACTTCAATTGCATTTTCAGCTCCCTCAAGTTGTGAT